ATCGAAAATGACAAGAAGGAGTTGGTCCCCACCCGCATTACTACCGGGTGGCGTATCTGTATCGATTACAGACGGCTGAACGCTGTGACCAAGAAGGACCACTTTCTATTGTCGTTTATTGACCAGATCCTTGATCGTCTTTCGGGCCATCAGTTCTACTGCTTTTTGGATGGTCTCTTTGGCTACTACCAAGTGGCCATTGCACCAGAGGATCAGCCCAAGACGACATTCACGTGCCCCTTTGGTACTTTCGCATTCAGACGGATGCCCTTTGGCCTATGCAATGCACCGGGTACGTTTCAGAGGTGCATGTTCTCTATCTTCTCCGATATGCTTGAGGACTGCTTGCAGGTATTTATGGATGACTTTTCTATCTTCGGTGATTCATTTTCTCATTGTCTTCATAATTTGTCTACAGTCCTTGAACGTTGCATTGAGTCCAATTTGACTTTGAGTTGGGAAAAGAGTCATTTTATGGTGAGAAGTGGAGTTGTCTTAGGCCATGTTGTCTCTAGTAAAGGGATAGAGGTAGATAAAGCAAAGGTAGACGTTATTGAAAAACTTCCTCCTCCTGTGAATGTTAAGGGGATTAGGAGTTTTTTGGGGCATGCGGGGTTTTATAGGCGGTTTATTAAGGATTTTTCTAAGATTAGTCAGCCTTTATGTCATTTGCTTGCTCAAGATGTGCCATATGTATTTGATGATGCTTGTTTACGTGCTTTTAATGAGTTAAAGAGCAAGCTTGTGAGTGCCCCTATTGTGATTGCCCCTGATTGGTCGATTCCTTTTGAAATCATGTGTGATGCATCTAATCTTGCTGTAGGCGCCGTTTTGGGTCAACGGGTTGATAAATTGCTTCGAGTGATTTATTATGCTAGTTTGACTCTTAATGGGGCCCAACAGAACTACACTACCACTGAAAAGGAACTTCTAGCCGTGGTCTTTTCTCTTGAAAAATTTCGATCATACATTTTTGGTTCTAAAGACATTATTCACTCAGACCATGCGGCTTTGAAGTACCTTTTGAGCAAAACTCATTCTAAACCACGGCTCATTCGGTGGATCTTATTACTGCAAGAATTTGATGTTGACATTAAAGATAGGAAAGGTTCTGAAAATGTAGTTGCTGATCACTTGTCACGCATTGTACCTTCTGAGTCTTCATCTTCATTGATTGTGCATCATTCTCTTAATGATAATTTCCCATACGAGCATGCACATGAGGTATCGAAAAGTGTATGGTATGCTGATATTGTAAATTACTTGTGTTGTGGAAAACTGCGGCCTAATCTCTCTTCCTAGGAGAGAAAGTGTTTTCTTGTTGTGTGTAGGGATTACTTCTGAGACGAGCCATTACTTTTCAAGATGGGGAAGGATGAGGTGCTTAGACGATGTGTACC